TTGTGTTCGTTTAGATAATTCGAAAGCAATGTTATGGAACCACCATACCGATGTGGTCGTGTCAGCAGCGTTTAGGTGCCTGATCCCCGAAGGACATGCATAGGTGGCTTTGTCAGAAGTGCTGACGCATCAGTTCGTCGTCTAATTCTTTCTTTAATTTTCTTTTTTTGGCAGTGGCGTTGAACATGGCTGCGTGTCTTTGAAATCCCGCTCGCATTAAATCGCGTATACCGTAAAGTCTCGTATGAAAGCCCAGCACCGAAAAATCACCCATCCCGTTTTTCTAATCAGATCAACCACGTGATCTGCGTTATCGGTAAGTGTAAAAAGCATGTTCATAGCGGGTTCCCTCGTGCTTATCGCACTGTGACGTGCGAATCTGCAGCGTCCGCAATCTGCAGGTTATCTGTCCCCTGACATGCATAATCCTAACTTGTTCCCGCGTTTGTTCGCTAACTCGTTCCCGTGACATCTAAGTTTGTAGCGGGTTATTGCATGTACATCGCACTGTGAAGCGCGAATGCGCATGTATCCGCGTCCTGCCGCCGTACCTGTGACAGGGGAGTTTATAGCAAATTCTTGCGTACTTACAGCCCTTTGGAACGCAAATTCGCTGTGTCTGCGATCTGTGATTTCATTAATGAAAATACAGAGAGTTTGCAGGTGAGCTGCTGATAGTTAATCTTGATATTTAAAACCAGACACTGTGGTGAGGGAACAAATAGGAAATTTTGAAATCTGAGTTTTCAATTCCCGTAACTTGCAGTGCCGCTCCACCACGCACTATTTATCTTTTGTCTCTGGGTAGGCTTTCTTTTAGGGCTTTGTGATATATAAACGTAACTAAGAGCCATGTGTTCACCTATCATCTAACCTCTGGGGATAGCGATAACTGCTCTAGAAAATTAAACGTTGGGCATAATATTTTGTTTTGCGTGTTCGGGGTGTGCGTTTTTGCTGAGACCCTTTCTGCGCTCCTGAGTTGTGTCTTAAACATAAGAATAAAAGCGATAGTTGGTTGCCTCATCTATAAACTTCCTTGTAAATGATGTACGCGGCGAATACATGTGCTGGTACACAAACAGCAAGCCGGTGGGAATACAAGGAGAACAGTTGGGATGTTCTGCTGAGCGACGCAATCGCTAAAACGTTGTGCTAGATCAGAAGTTTCATTTGTGTTTGTCCTTTGTCCCCAATTCCCCTTCTCCAGGGATTATTATTGACATCCAAACAATTGATTTGTGAAGAAAACCTTCGGTTTTATGTTCTTACTTGCTAGTTTTGTCAGTCTATTTTTTAAACCCCTACACAAGCTTTTTTTTTTATTCTAGTCAGTCATGTCCTTTTAGTAAGGGTTAATTAAGCGCGTGTGCATGATCAGAAATATAAAGTTTTCAATATTTTGCATTTTTACTTTTTTTCAGATAAAGTAGATTTGAACACTCTTAACTTAGATATTGGAATACTTTCGTGTTTGCTAAACAGGGAACTTGGAACATTTGTATTTCCTAATAATGAAAACTGTAATCAGTTAGTATTGGGCGTTATTTCATACCATGCTTTTACATCTTGAAATGGTTTTGTTTCCAAGTTATGGAAGTTGTAATTTGGATTGTCTAATAGGCACAATGTTTGGTTTTCATAAGGCTTAAGTTGTGCTTCTTTTGTTGATTATGCCTTCTCTGTTGTAAATCCATAAGAGGAACCAACCCGCTACCAGGACAGTTCTCAATAGGTGCCATTGAGATTAGGGGTGCAGTGCACCTTTAAGGCTTCGCTGGTAGCAGCGGAATGCATTCTGATTACATTTAGAACACAAAACGAAACTACAGGTAGTGGGCACTTCAATGAAAAAAGTTTCGTAAAGGTTCTTACGGGTGTTCAGCAGTCTTGTCAGGAGATGTTAAAGTGATCACGTTGATCAGTGCTTCGTCAGGCACTCTGGTGTTGTCGTCAAGATCAACAAAGCAGTTGAACCGTTTATTGTGCATCTGCAAGATAAAAAAACCTAGTTATTTGCATTATTTTGTACCAACACAATTTAGGTTAGGGGTTGAAACTATTTTCTTTAATGAGTCTATGAATGAAGGCAACAAAATAAATGCAACACTTGGGTTTTCCTAATCCATGCATACCGATACATAGTTTCCACGTGACGTCACTTCCTCTGCTCCCGCCCGCCAGCCGGCATTGCCAGGTACTGAGAAGCAGACGCGGACGCTGTCGCCGCCGCTACTGCTGCGGAATTTGTTTCGCCCGTGCAGCCAGATGGCAAAAGCCATTCGCCATGAGTTCTGCCCTTCCTATTTTGAAGAGCTTGTGGGCCCCACACGGGCTCGGTACGAGTCTAAAGTGGAGATGTACGACGGCGTCGATTCATACACGCTACGCGTCGGCGCGGACACCACTACAGATGCACATGTGCAGCCAGCCACGACGCACATGGACAAAATTAACAACCTGGTTCTGTCGACGAACTACATGTCGCTGTAACAGATGAAGGCCTTCAAGTCCCTGGATGCCCACAACTGTCACAAGTGGATGGGTGAACAGCCTGACAGCGATGCGTCTCCAACCGAATTGTATCGTCGTGCTGAGCAAGGCGAGTTGACAGGCAAAAAAAACAAGCCTTTTTAGGAGAGCCGAAGAGTCGACGGTTAGCCTGCAAACGAAGAGATGTGACCGTCCTTGCCGCATTAGAATTCGCAGCATCTTAGTTGGGTAAACGGCGCCGCCGCCGCAACACCATCGACACAAGTGTGCTACAAACGCTACACAATTACAGAAACGCTAAGAGAAAGGTAAAAGCGCATCTCTGCCGACACCAAACACTGCCTCGGCCGCTATGGCAATGCGTACAGCGTGCGAACAGAAGCATCCAGCAATCCACATACTGAGCAACGTATTTCTTACCGGTAATGAAGTGACGACCGCAGACACGGACACTTCCGATGTATGCGAGCAAGCCAGAGGCTTCGGCGTTTCTCGGACAGCAGCTTTGTTCGCTCACACTGTCGCGTTATCACCTTTGGCAAACGGTGCAGCCCTAGATTGGAGTCTGTTACTCTGCTGTGCAGAGTAACACAGATTTTCCTGGAATCCTCGGGCAAGTTGCGTTTTTCTCTTCTATTTTGATTCAAACTTTTGTTCGTAAATGTCGCGGAAAGGTGTCTTCTTCCTCTCATCAGAAAACCGAGGTAGCCTCCCCATCATACAAGTTCTTGATGCTGGTGGCAGAATAAAGACAGAACAACAAAGTTTTGTTCAAGCATTGGAGAGTGCACATGATAAACACTATTCAAAAGCCACCTCTACATCAGATATCTAAATTCTGAAGATACACCAAAACACATAGCTTACTTTTTACTGCGGCCACCTTCCTTGGCGTGAGTGCTTGCTTTGCTGCGGCTCCAAGTTTGGCCAGGCGAGGGCTGGCTTGGCCTGTCACGGTTCTTTGCTGCAGCTCTTCGATGGACCAGATGCACCGCATGAGAACTTTAGTGAATCTCTGGTCACTTGGCAGTTTCAAAAGGTGCGTCATCTTTGTTTCGGAGAGGTAGACATCATCTCCCAGATGAATCTGTTACAGAAGGCACGCAATAATAAGGAAGGATTCTATGAACAAAGCAGGATTTTGCAGAAATCATTTCGTAATATTTGTCGGTTTCAGGACATGCAATGCTTTAGTCACTCTAATGTTAAGGTCCGTTCACACGCTTGCGACCTCTTAGAGCCGAGTGCCTTGGAACCTCTTAATCTCTCTTACGACGAGAGGCAGTCCGGCATATTTTCTACTTCTCTTTTGCACTATCCTTTCTTTTTTGGCTCGTAAAACTTTTGTCAACGTTATAAACCAGCCTGGTATTACAAACATTTGACCTCGGAAATCCAAAACCTTCGCTCTTGTGAAATGCAGTTCCAGAGTCACCGCATAGGTGTCACCAGCGTGCCAGTGTGTTCTCTTGTCTTAAGTAATTTTAAGAGGTTTCAACAGGTCTCATCTCTCTTGGTCGTACTTGGTTGCAAGTGTGGGAACGGGCCTCAAGTCACCAACACACATGATGTCAGTTCAGTCCTCTTTGAACTTTAGTGCTTATATATTAGTCATCGATGTGTAGAGAGGTGTTGGAATACTGATTAGTGCGCCAAGCGCTGCGGAGAGGAGAAATCTCGAGTCATGACGGATGCATTCGGCACCTGCCGCAAAGAGAACGCCGAGAATGTTAACACACCGCACTTCTCGTAAGAGCGAGCAGGACCTGTGCTGATCGTTGCAAGGCATTTCCTCAGCAGATGCACGGAGTGCTGGCACTTGCCAGACTAATAAGTATCCCAGCCCCTGCAGCGGCACGAAAGCAACGATGCCATCAATGTTTCCATTGTCCTGGAGCCGATGGATTTGGCTTTGCCGTAAGTAGTGAAACCGAACTTTAAAACTAGATACCTACAAAACTGCAGACACCACAGAAAAAGACATTGCAGGAAGAAAGGCGGTGATACACTGACCATTTCAGTCTGCCACAACGGCTTCTATTCAAGGAAGCGGAGTGTGGCGTGTGGCGGCACGGACAAGGCTAGATTCTAAGGAGCTTCGCCCCTAAAATCAGTTGTGGGCCATTAGCACCAGAGGGACTTGCCTGGTAGGAGAGTGTTGGCGTAAACACTTACCGTGGTGGGTGACCTCGAGAGAGAGGCATACTTTACGATGCGAGGTTCGGGACGCGCGTTTTCTGCCGAGAGAATCTGAGCGGGCATTTCGGGCTAGGAGAATGCAGTGGCTCTGGCTGGCACAGTTTACATCCGTGTAATCTTTCTCACCCGCGTGCGAGGGGGTCACAGCAGAACGGCAACGTCGCATCGCGTCTGGCAGAATGAGTGACGAAATGGCTCACTTAAGGGCCACCCACACTAGCGAGAAAACGCGCGCGGCGCGCCGATCGCGGGAAAACGCGTCCCGCATCCTGAAGACCACACTAGATAGAGTTCTGCCGCCGCGAATGTCACCTGACAGCACAGGAGGCCTCGCGCACTCTTGAAGCATCCGAGCGAGCGCATGATTTCCCGCAATATCTCGAGGATCCTCGAGGCAATCGAGCGGGCGAGGGACGCTTTTGCTCGCCGAAGATCGAGTCCACACCGTGATCGAGTCATGACAGGTACAGATGAGCTCGTAATTACGGTCAACACAATCATTCTTGTGTGCTCACTACTTCTCCGTCGTCGGCGCTTCCAAAAAGCCAAGAAACGTAGATGGTGGGTTCGACCAAGCTTGCGCTACCGAAATCTGGAAGGACAGGCCAGTGCTTTGCTGCCTCGCCTGCGCGCCACAGACGAAATTTACTTTCGAGAGTGAGTAACTACAACCATTCTCTACCTTAAAAGTGTTCACCATATACAATGGTAAACGGATGTTTTTTTTATCGCTTTTTGGTCTCCAGCTTCCTGCGAATGGCACCCAGCACATTTGATTCCTTGCTGGAACTCATCCGTCCAGCGATCGAACGTAAGGTGACGCCGTTCCGCGACCCGATATCAGCACACGACCGGCTTGTTATCACCGTCAGGTAAAGGGGGGGGGGGGGAGGGGGGGGGGGGAAGGGGGGGGGGAGATTGGCATTACGACGTCAGCATATCGCTATCTTGATGTTATAATGAATCTTCCGAGTGAGCAAGCAGGTCTTGCGGAGAATTAAAAGCAACTGCGAGGTGCGCTAAGCGAGCGTTGTAAGAAAAAAAACGCGCGTATTACCAAGACACCTCTTCTTTTGTGATTCCAGATTCCTTGCAAATGGCGACACATTCCGTAGTTCGTCTTTTAATTTTTTGGTGGGCCGATCAACAGCGGCTGGGATTGTGAAGGAAACATGCGCTGCAATGTGGAACATTCTGCAGCCCATCTACGTGAAATTTCCACAGGGGCCAACCGAATGGAAAAAGGTTAGGGACGGTACCTGTTAGGTCACACTATGCCATGCTCACTTCCCACTTTTTTTGTGACCACCATTATTTTAGATTGCAGCAGAGATAGATTTACTCTGGAATTTTCCTAATTGTATTGGTTGCATTGATGGAAAACATGTCAACATTGAGTGCCCCAGCAACTCAAGTGCAAGAAACCTAAACTATAAGAAGACATTTAGTACAGTTCTTATGGCAGTATGTGATGCACGCTACAGGTAGGATTCATTTGATCAATTATTTAAATAAGTGTTTTTAATAGCATGGCATCTTGGTTATGAGTGCAAAGAAAGCTACCACTACTAAGAAAACGAGGATACTAAAATTTTGTACTTTATATTGCATCATATTGTCACGGGTGGTGACTAATAAACAAGAAATAAACAGGAATAAATAAACGTTTAATGTGGCGAACTTGTGCCGAAAATAAAAGGGTACAAAAGAAAGATAACAACAGAGCGTCGCGGGCGTCGAAGGCGGCGAAGCAGCACGATCAAACGCTGAGGCGAGACTGACTCGACAAGGTCGCGGGCGGCCTCTTATCTATAGTGCGTCGCTATCTCGAAGATTCGGCGAAAGCGGCTCGAGCGTCGCGTGATCGGGGCGAGAATGAACACGCACTTTCTAGAAAACAAAAGCAGAAGGTACATGGATATAAATAATAGAAGTTACGTGCGCTACATGAATAAACGGGAACTTTCTGGAGGTCCGTGACCGAGCGTTGCTTTCTCAGCCCTGCGCGCGGCATTACTCCCCCCTTTAAAAGTGCATCGCCCCGATGCAGTGTAAAACAAAACAAAATAAAAAAGAACGATAAACTAAAGAGTCTTTTGGAGCACATAAGGTCCACAGTCCTATCGAGCGTAGTATGGCTTCAGGCGCACGACGTGGACGACCTCAGGTCGTGGTGGCCGGCGTGACGATGTTCGTGTTCCGTCGGGCATCACCTCGTAGTTCAGCTCGCCGAGGCGACGAAGTACCTTGTATGGTCCAAAGTACCGTTTCAGCAGTTTCTCACTGAGGCCGCGACGACGGATGGGCGTCCAAACCCACACCCTGTCTCCGGGCTGGAAGTGAACGTCCCTGCGACGAAGGTTGTAGCGGCCCGCGTCGACGCGTTGCTGGTCTTGAATCAGGAGTCGGGCGAGCTGGCGGACTTCTTCGGCCCGTTGAGCAACCACCTGGGCGTCGTCGCTCTCACTGTCAGCTGGCTCATGGGGCAGCATCGCGTCCAGCATGGTCGTTACTTTGCGCCCATGCACCAGTTGAAAGGGTGTCACTCCGGTGGTCTTTTGTACGGCCGTGTTGTAGGCAAATGTGACGTACGGCAAAACCTCGTCCCATGTCTTGTGCTCCACGTCGACGTACATGGAGATCATGTCGGCGATGGTTTTGTTGAGTCTCTCCGTCAGCCCGTTGGTCTGCGGGTGGTACGCCGTGGTGCGACGATGGCTGGTGTGGCTGAGACGAAGGACTTCTTGCGTCAGCTGGGCCATGAATGATGATCCACGGTCTGAGATCAGGACTTCGGGAGCGCCGTGCCGGAGGACAATGGACTCGATGAAAAACTTGGCGACTTCAACAGCCGTTCCTGATGGAACGGCTTTTGTCTCGGCGTACCGCGTGAGATAATCGGTTGCGACGATGATCCATCGGTTTCCTTGCGTCGACGGTGGGAAAGGTCCGAGTAAATCCATACCGATTTGCTGGAATGGGGCAGATGGCGGCGCAATAGGCTGAAGAAGTCCTGCCGGTCTCGTCGGTGGCTTCTTCCTTCGTTGACACTCGTGGCAAGATCGGGTGTAGTGGTGTACTGTCTTCGCAAGCTTGGGCCAGTAGTACTTTTCGCGTATCCTCGCAAGAGTCCTGCTGTAACCAAGGTGTCCCGCCGTCGGGTCATCGTGGCAGGCTTGAAAAATTTCTTCTCGAAGACTGGAAGGGATCACCAACAGCCACGCCGTGTTGTTGTCGCTGAAGTTCTCCTTGTACAGTACGCGTTGTCGGATGGAGAAGGTTGGCAGTGTTCGTACAAAACCGCGGGGAACGGCGCTTCCTTGCCCCTCTAGGTGTTCGATGAGTGCTCGCAGCTCAGGGTCGTCCCGTTGGAGTGCTGCCATGTCGCTTACATCCAGAGCGCCGAGGAAACACTCATCGTCGTCCTCTTTGTTGCAGGCAGGACCGGCCTCGACTGGGGCCCTTGACAGGCAGTCGGCGTCATCGTGCTTCCGGCCAGACTTGTACACCACGGTCATGTCGAACTCCTGCAGTCGCAGGCTCCACCGAGCGAGGCGTCCGGAGGGGTCCTTCAGATTCGCCAGCCAGCAGAGCGAGTGGTGGTCTGTGACCACGCGAAAAGAACTTCCATACAAATATGGGCGAAACTTTGTTATTGCCCATACGACAGCGAGGCACTCCTTTTCGGTCGTTGAATAGTTCCTCTCCGCTTTAGACAGCGTCCGACTTGCGTATGCGATAACTCGCTCGGCTCCGTCCTGCACTTGGACTAGTACCGCACCCAGTCCGGTGTTACTGGCGTCGGTGTGGATCTCGGTTTCAGCAAACTGGTCAAAATGGCCAAGAATCGGGGGCGTCTGGAGTCTTCGTTTGAGCTCGTCGAATGACCTCTGGTGTTCTTCTGTCCACTCGAACTTTACGGCGTCCTTCGTGAGGTGTGTCAGCGGTGCGGATAGCTTGGCGAAGTCTCGAACAAAGCGCCTGTAGTAGGCACAGAGTCCGAGAAATCTTCTCACGGCCTTCTTGTCAGACGGCGGCGTAAATGCAGCTACGGCGCGGGTCTTCTCGGGGTCAGGTAGAACACCCTTGTTGTTCACGACGTGGCCAAGGAACTTTAGTTCCCCATAGGCGAACCGACACTTTGCTGGCTTGAGTGACAGGCCGGCGGTCTTGATGGCTTGAAGCACGGCTCGAAGTCGTCTGAGGTGTTCGTCGAAATCTCGTGAGAATACCACGACATCGTCCAGGTAGACGAGGCAGCTCTGCCATTTCAGACCTGCCAGCACGGTGTCCATGACGCGCTGGAAGGTGGCTGGTGCTGTACAAAGTCCGAACGGCATCACTTTGAATTCGTATAGTCCGTCGGGAGTGACGAAGGCAGTTTTCTCCCGGTCACGTTCGTCGACTTCAATCTGCCAATAACCACTCTTCAGGTCCATCGACGAAAAATATCGGGAGTGGCGCAGTCGGTCTAACGTATCGTCGATGCGGGGGAGCGGATAGACGTCCTTCTTTGTCACGGCGTTCAGTCGACGATAGTCCACGCAGAACCGCAGGGTTCCGTCCTTCTTCTTTACAAGGACGACTGGGGACGCCCATGGGCTCCTTGAGGGTTGAATGATGTCGTCGTCGAGCATCTCCTGGACTTGATCTTGAATCACTTTCCTTTCCTTTAAGGAGACTCGATACGGCGACTGGTGGACAGGAAGTGCGTCGTCGTCGGTAACAATGCGATGTTTCGCCATTGGTGTTTGGCGAATCTTTGATGTCGTGGCAAAACAGTCACTGTATTCGGCAAGGAGATCAATTAGTTGCCGGCGCTTCGTAGCTTGGAGCTCGGGGTCAATGTCGAGCGGCGGCGGCGTCGTGCTCTTCTGCTGTGGCGACGAGGTTTCCTCGGAGATTGCGGTGACCACCGCTGGCGCTTGAAGCTCCTCGACGTGGCCCACGGTGGTACCCCTCGTTAGGTGCTGCGGCTCCTCTCGAAAGTTCGTCACAAGAACAGTTGTACGTCTTTCTTGGAGATCCGTTACGCCTCTTGCGACGCCAATTCCTTTTTCGAGGAGCAGTTGGACGCTGCCTTCCAGAAGAGCTTCACCGTGCATGGCTGCGTCGGCTATAACGGTGACGAAAACACTCGACCGCGGCGGTAGGCTCACATGGTCGGCGATAACTCGGATCGCGGTTGATGTCGTGTTGGTCTCCACCGCCGGTAAAACCGGTTTCCGCAGCGTCAACTGGTTTGCCCCGAGGTCGATGACGGCGCCATACTCGCAGAGAAAGTCCATGCCGAGGATAACGTCCCTCGAACAGTCTTGCAGAACGACGAACTTCACAGGGCACGTTTCACCGTGGATCTCGACGCGAGCCGTGCATCTCCCGACTGGCGTGATGAGATGTCCTCCGGCGGTTCGTATTTGGGGTCCATCCCACGGCGTCATGACTTTTCTCAGGCGGCGAGAGAGCCTCCCACTCAAGACTGAGTAGTCTGCTCCGGTGTCCACGAGTGCCGATGAGTCGAGGCCGTCAATAACAACGTTTAAGTTGTTGGACACCGAAGCAGGGGCGTCGTTGTGATGCGTAGCGTCGGGAGAGTGGGAGCGCTCCGTCGTTCGTGGAGGCTCTTTACGTCGGTCGTCTTCGGCAACTCCACCTCCAGGGGTTGCCGCGCCTAGTTTCCCCGACGAGGAGCGAGGGGCGACAGGCTTTCACGTCGGGGTCGGTGCATCGGCGAAGCTGGACGTCGCGGTGACGGCGACCGGAACTCTCGGCGGGACGCAGGCTCGGGGGACTGGGGTCGTCGCAGGTATTCGTCGATCTCCCGAGGGCGTTCACCATACCGGGGGCGCGGGTCGCTTGGGTGGAATCCGCGCAGCCCGAGTCGACGGTATGGGCATCGGCGGTAGGTGTGGTCTGCCTCCCCGCAGTGGAAGCACAGAGGGCGTCGGTCGGGCGTTCGCCACACATCGGTCTTCCGGGGTGCACGGGGCTCCTGGCTGGCGTACTGGGGCTGGTCGTCGCGGCGTCGGTCGTGCTGCGGCGCAGGAGACTGGCGTCGGGGCGGCGCGACATAGGCGCGAGGAGGAGGCGGTGGCCGTCGGGCCACTGCGGCGTAAGTTAGCGCGGGTTCTTCGGAGACTGCTGCGCTGATGGGAGCCTCTGGTTGAATGGCTCTCTGCACCTCTTCCCGCACGACCTCAGCGATGGAGAGCGAAGCTGGTCGGTCAGCGGCGGGTAGTAGCTTTCGCAGCTCCTCCCGGACGACGTCGCGAATGATCTCGCGAATGCTTGGGATGTTGGAGCCAAGGTCGCAAGCGGACGGCGGAACCGCGCTGACGCCGGGTAGCCTCTGGTAGTGGCTGGCTCGGGCTTGCAGGGCACGCTCGATGTTCGTTGCCTCGGCGACAAAGTCTTCGACAGTTGTCGGAGGGCTGCGGACAAGGCCACCAAAGATGTTTTCTCTCACGCCCCGCATGAGGATTCGTAGCTTCTTCTCTTCTGTAGCCCGAGGGTCGGCGCGGGCGCTCAGGCGCAGGACGTCCTCTACGAAGCCGGTGACACTCTCGTTGGGGCCCTGGGTTCTGGTTCGCAGTAGGTCCTCGGCTCTCTCTCGGCGGTGGTGGTTGATGAAGGTAGCCTTGAGATCGTTCTTGAAAATGTCCCACGACGTCAAGGAGGACTCATGATTCTCGTACCAGTGCTTGGCAGTCCCCTCAAGCGAAAAATAGACATTGTGTAGGCGCTGCTCGTCTGTCCAGCAATTGTGGCGGGCAACGCGTTCATACTGGTCAATCCAGTCTTCGACGTCTTCGTACTGCTCGCCGTGGAATGGAGCCGGTGTCCGAGGAGCGACGGGTAGGTAGACGACGGCAGGAGCGGCGGGGGTCTGCGACTGGTTGGCCATCGTCGGCTGCCTGGTCCTGGGTGGTAAAAGTCCGTATTCCGGGTGTAGCCCTTGGGTTCGGCGACTTGATCGAGTCTCGATCTGGTCTTCGTTGGGTCCTCGGGAGCTTGGGTTCGGACTTGTAGTGCGGGAACTTGGAGGGCTACGCTGCACGGACATGCGGTACCCCGCACCTCCACCAAAATGTCACGGGTGGTGACTAATAAACAAGAAATAAACAGGAATAAATAAACGTTTAATGTGGCGAACTTGTGCCGAAAATAAAAGGGTACAAAAGAAAGATAACAACAGAGCGTCGCGGGCGTCGAAGGCGGCGAAGCAGCACGATCAAACGCTGAGGCGAGACTGACTCGACAAGGTCGCGGGCGGCCTCTTATCTATAGTGCGTCGCTATCTCGAAGATTCGGCGAAAGCGGCTCGAGCGTCGCGTGATCGGGGCGAGAATGAACACGCACTTTCTAGAAAACAAAAGCAGAAGGTACATGGATATAAATAATAGAAGTTACGTGCGCTACATGAATAAACGGGAACTTTCTGGAGGTCCGTGACCGAGCGTTGCTTTCTCAGCCCTGCGCGCGGCAATATTGAATGTATCGACTTCTACCTGCTGTTTTATTTCAGCTTCACGTATGTTGACATCGGTCATTATGGCGGAGAGAGTGATGGAGGGGTTTTTTCAAGGACGCCACTTTTCGGGGTTCTAGCTGACAGCGGATATGGCATCCCTCCTCCTGCAAATGTGGGCTCTGCAGGCCTGATCCCCTACTTAATGGTCGGGGATGAGGCGTTTCCGCTGAAGCCCTTTCTCATGAGGCCATATCCTGGGCGCGGCAAGTCTTGCTATTGATTTTCGTATAGTATAGCTTACATTATTTATTTGTAAAAAAAGAAAACAGCATTGTGCTTTCTTTTTATTTAAAAATTATTGCATACTCATTTCGCACGTCATGAAATTAGTTATTTATGGAAATGTACTTTGCAGGAAATGCCATTATTTTATTCTGTTAGCAGATGCATTCGTCTGTGCAGAATCTGTCGGTTTTAACCGGAAAACACGAGCGCGCAGCCTGCCAGAATTGGCACACTATTGCTCGATAGTCAGCTTAATCAGAGACAATGTTACGCATGCGGTGGTTAATACTGACGTCTCAATTTTGCATATTTCTTCAGAGCTCCAAAGTTGCAGAAACAGGGAACCTGACCGGGAAGAGTACCTGAAAATGGCCACCTTTAATTACCGGCTGAGCCGTGCGAGACGGCTCATAGAGAATGCGTTTGGGATCATGGCCAGCAGGTGGCGAATTCTACGAAGAGCATTTCGAGCCTCGGAAGAAACAACAGAAAATATTGTGAAGGCGTGCGTGGCTTTGCACAACTTTCTGCTCAAGAATTCTGCCATGTCAAGGTCAGCGTACAATCCTCCGGGTTATGTGGACAGCGAGGACTGGCAGGGAAATCTCACACATGGGTCATGGAGAAATGACGACAGGGGGCTGCCGTTGAGGGACATGGCGGGCCTGGGGTCCCACTCTCCCGGGTAATTATTCCAGCAGATGGGCCGCGGGGATAAAAAAGTGATATTTAGGTTTGCAATTTCCTACTTGCGTGCATTACCGAAAATGCTATGCCTGCTGACTTTTCATTCCATTGACAGACATTGTGTAATCTTGTACTTCAGGACTGCTTTGGAAGTACGAACCGACTGGCCACATACTTCCTCAACGAGGGAAAGGTCCCGTGGCAAGAAAGAATCGTAACTCGAGCGGGACAGCAGGTAATGACCGATCATCAAAGTAACTAATTTTTCAACGAAATATTGATGTCTTCTCTGAAGGATGCGAACATCAAGTATAGAAAGTGTACACGATTAAATTTGTAAGTAACGTGCTTCCTTAATTTGTAGTATAGATCTGCAAGACCAAAGTCTTAGATAAATAACACGAACAATGACGTTTCGGTTGAGCATTCATTCCAACATCTTCATCTCAGCCTCATACAGCAGTTGGTTGATCTTATGCATTACCTCACATCTTAGCTTTTGTGAAAGCAATGCCAGTTTGGATTCAATCCATTGTGCCCCCGCCGTACAGTCGTTTTTAATGACAGGCGTGTCGGCCTTGTGCGAGATGGCGTTCAATGTTGCCGAGCAGCTGTGGAGGACGCTCTGCACAGAGTCCTCGAAGCTATCCTGGCCCCGTTGATTCTTTTTTCTGCAAAACAGTCCAAACGTTGATTTTCACGCAATAGTATTTTTTAATAGGAAACAACGTAAGTACCGGGATGATGGCACTTGGTCAGCAGGCCTCTTGGCTGATCTGGGCAAACCAAAGGAAGCAAATCAGCCAGGACGTACAAGAATATTGAAGACATGATTTTCTTACCGTGAAGGACCTACATCGGCTCCCGTGCCTGGGTGTTCATAGATGCTGCAAAATAAAGGCAGACTGTGAATTTGTGCTTCAGTATTGTAAGAGGAGTATGCAGTGCACCTTGCAGCACCAATAAAGGATTGAGACCGCACACCTTGGGCTGTTTTCCTCCGATAGCAAGAGAGCAGGGCCATTGGAGTACCTGGATTATTTATTGCAGATGTGCGGCGTTTCACTCATGGCACAGGCCATGCCACAGGAAAGAGGTTACGACAAAGCAATATAAAGTATGCTTACATTGCTTCAAAAACAACCCTAGCAGGGCTCAGGGGACAGCTGTGCGTAGAAATTTGGTTAAAGTTAGTACCACATTTTGTTGTGCTCTGACCTCAGGTAATTTTAACATGAGTGGTGTCTACCTTTCTGCGTGGTCAAGACTTGCTGCACTCGAACTGGATGTGGAGGGCTGCTCTGTGTCCCTGCATAACAGTAGCTATAAGCCTTGCTTAACAAAAACGCTGGGGCAGTGAAATTCGTAAGTTTATAAAGGAGTTTTCTAGGGTAAAAAGTAGCAGACAGGAAAAGAAAAATACAGCATCATACCTATCTTCCTCAACCGGCAAGTTTGTGGCGGTCCTTAATAAAACCAAAAATGTACCCTCTCAAATTAGACGCAATCATTTCACACGCTCACATGAGCACCATAGTTACAGATTACCTTTCAGCGTAGTGCGGCGTGTTCTTAAGAACGTCGTTGATCACGTCAAATAAAACCCACTTTGTTTTTACTTTCCCAACATTTCCGCTGGAGCCGCTCCTCGGTTTTTGCACACCGGAAACAATCTTCAACCAGCGGTCCCTGACATTCTTAAATTTGGCCGCGGCTGCTTCTCCTGCACGGTATATGCCTCCATTAGAAATTTAGAAACGGTTTACTGCATTGTTGAGACAAAACTGGGCAAAGCAAGCCCGAGAAGCTTGCTGTGCCCGCAAAAGAGAGTCGATGCACGGCTGTCATAACTAAGCTAGGCGCCTAGATGTCCTTCTGTTTAGGGTGATGCCATCGTTTGTAGTACCCGATGCCGACAGCACGAGCTCACAGGGAAAACACAAAGAAATCTCCGGTAACAAAAAGTCGCCGTAGCACAGTCAGCGCCACGAGCGCGTGCAGAGACACGTCCTTTCACGCGCTTGAAAACAAAAAAAATACAAACGAGCGTTCGGAACAAAATGGCCAGATGTCATCACCCCAAGCAAAGCGCACATGAAGGCCCCCTAATCTCAGGGGCGGATTTAGAGGGGGGGTCCGGATGTCCTGATCCCCCTCTTGATTTCTGCATGTGTAAAATTTAGGGCATGAAACGAGGGAAAGGGGGAGGGGTTTCCTAAACAAATGGTACGTTGACCAACACCTGACCCCCTTCCCCCCCCCCCCCCCCCCCCTTAGGAAATTCCTGCATCCGCCCCTGCCTGAACCAGCTTCATATCAGCTGCTGAGCCCAACAGACACCTGTGCTTATTTCTTCGAAAGTTACTTCGGAACCCATTACGGGAACCCCTGCGCTAACATCACGGAGTCGGCGCGAGAGGCGTTCACACAACTCGAGTAGGTCGCAAAATAACTCACCGGTGAGACCGAAATCCTCGCCGATAATCGCCCATCGGTTCAGCTTCTCCGCTTTTTCCTTGAACTCCGGGTGTTTTTTATCGTATAGAAACGGGTACATCCGTACCGTTTCGATAAAGCGCTCCATCGTCCTCGTGTTGTTTTCTAGGCTCATGGCGGAAAGATTGTTCGCTGGCTCGCCTGGGCTCGCCACTACTCGGCGGCTCAACTTTCTCGCGAAAGCGTTGCCATGGCATCGCACGTGACTGGATGTGACGCCTCTGATTGGCGCGTCTGCGCCAGCGGCAAGCGGCATACCGAGCGGCAGGAAAATCTTCCCGCTCAACCGATTTTGCGGAACGCGTTTTCAACGCGATCGGCGCGCCGAGCGCGTTTTCTCGCTAGTGTGGGTGGCCCTTTAGACGGTGCTATCCACACCTGGGTCGGCTGTCTGACTTGCTCTGCGAATTCTAGAAATAGTTTGCTTGCATTGGAACCCGCCCAAGCTTTGCCCGTGAGGTATACGCCGACCGCTGGTTCTCACGCGGAAATATAAGCAATTACCCCATGGTGAGAAAGTTAGGCGATTGGTTGTAGCCTGTCTGACGACGAGTCAAGGACCGGCCGGACCATTAAAAGGGAATGAACCAACGAGTGATTTTGAGGGGAAAAGCAGCAAATGAGTTTAGTTTATGGTGGAACTCGAGAGCTAACTCTCTGGAATTGAGTCAGGCTGTGTGATGCCTACGGACTTTTGACCCCGTAATCGGGACCTAATCCCATGAGCCAGCGAACTCCCGAGCTTGGATAGGCTAACCCCCGACCACCTCCTTCCCAACCCAGTACAGGGAAAGTTACCATTTTGCAGTATTGTTTCGTTTGTGTGTTTTCATTCGCTACTAAAGTATTAAATTATTTATCAAGAAGTAACTACAAGTTCAACTGAATTACTCGTCGACAGCCAAGGGAAGCTACTTCGTCTCCGACAAGACCCCCCCAGCTTCCGCCAACGAAGTACGTCAGCCCATTCGTACCTGACAACCCGGATGGCACAGGGTGACCCAAAAATGAACCCATACTCTCCCCTGACGAGGACAATAAAAAAAAAGTAAACCAGTCACTTACATTTCCTCGCCTGACTTCATGGAGTGGTCGCAGTGGACCGTAAACAGCTGCATTCAGCTGGTGTGCTGTCCGTGAAATATAAGTGTGTGCATTGATGAGATGAAATGGACAGCTTGATTTTAGGCAGAATTTACAGAAACTCCCTAAAAATTGACAAGTACTTGACAAAGCAAAATTACAGCCTGTTCAAGGCGAATTATCTCAATTTAACTTAAAATTTTGGGATTACGACGAACCCACATTGGAAAGGACTATACTGTATGTGGGGACAACTTTCTGCAGCTATGACGTTAGGGGGCACTAAAGGAGGTTTCTGAGGTTGTTTTAGTGATAACTCACTTTAGAGCTCTAGACAGCCAAAATATTACAAAAGCATTATCATGCGCAACCTGACCGAACGACGCACGGTGCTCAACAGCTAGTCACTAGTGCTGGCTTCTCACATGTATTTACCGTGTATGCTAGTGTCCCAAATTAGCACTTCCTACGGCACCAGAAATTTGAATGACAGCATTCCGACTAACAAAAAAGCAGCAAAAACTCGTCATCGCTCGCCGGCGCTAACTATATCGCGCTTTGTACCCAACTGCTTTCTATGAAAAAAATGAAAGCCGTTTACAATTCCCTGTAACGCCGGTTAGAGCGCAGCTCTTGAGGAGGAAGATGGAAGCGTACTGAGGGATAGGTGACTCCTTAAGGTCACGTGACCTCAAGGGGGTCACGTGACTTCAGGGGGTCACGTGACCTCATGGGGTCACGTGACCTCAGGGGGTCACGTGACCTCAGGGGGTCACGTGACCTCGCGGTTACGGCGCCGGCGACGCCGACGCCGCTCAAGCCAGAAACGGGCCCCTAAGAGCTGCGCTCTAAAACAAACACTGATATCAATCCAATTCATCCGACTTTGATGGCTCGGTTTACCAAGATTTCCAGCTTCGCCATGAACAGGACGTTTAGGAAGGGCCGCTGGTTGGGCAGGGTGTTGGTCCAGAGGAGCTGCTGCCGCAGGGATGGGAGCGGGGCGATTCAAAAGGGGGACAGCTGCAGGGGCAGGAAAGGGTTCTTGATCCAAAGGAGGGGCTGGAACGTTGTGTTGATCCATAGGGGGGCTCCTGCAGGGGTGGGGGCATCGTGTTGATCCATCGGGGGGACAGCTACGGCTGCGGGAGCAGGGTGCTGAGGCAGAGAGGGTGCCGCTGCAGGGATGGGAGAAGCAAGGAGTGGAGCTGCCATTGACACGAGACCAAGGGAGGCAGCTGATGCTAGAGCACGGGGAAAATGTGGAGACCTATTCATTAATTTCGATCATTTAAACAAGCTCCTGGCTTTGAAGAACCTCAATATTTTTAGAATGTCTGAAAACTGTCTAGCTGAAAGATGCTTTATGGCCTTTACTGATTTAGCCTCCAACATCCAAAAGCGTGGCCTTTAATCTTCCCCGCGGCATTAGAATGTTAGTAATCCAGACTTACTCGAGTGCGACGAAGAAGCAAGATCAGACCCATCACGACTGCTCGAAGCTTGATGACCTAAGGAGTTAATACAATTATTGGCTCCTGGCTTTGCAGAACCTCAATATCTTTAAAATGCCTGAAGTCTTTCTAGCTGAAAGATGCTCTATGGCCTTTACTGATTTTGCTTCCAACATCCAAAAGCGTGGCCTTTAATCTTGCCCATGACATCAAGAATGTCAGTAATTTAAACTTACCCGAGTGTGATGTAGAAACAAGATCAAAGCCATCGCGGCTGTTCGAAGCTTGACGACCTAAAAAGTAAATACAAATATTGATTAGCGCATGAAAAGGCATGCTCTGAAGAGCAATTTACCAAAGGACACTGTACCTCCGTTCTCTGAAGCCTTCTTACGGGCCACTTCTGCAAAAAATGGAAGTAGAAGCTATAGAAACACTGTTACGCAAACAAAATCCATAAAACAGGGGTAGAACAGCAAAAAAAAATATTATTTTGGAGTAATTTTTGTACGAGGAAAATTTGAGTTTTGCAGCAGCTTAGGACCAAAATATACCACATTTCAGAACAGAAAGCATTGAAAACGCAGCTTTGATTAAGGCCAATGCGCCGCAAATAACTGAGCTTGATCACTGCACTGGAAACACTGACCATAACGGTAATAGAATGGCAATCTGGGCTAGTTGGTTCATGATAACTTTCAGGGCGCCGAAAATACACAAGGACAAGATACAAGAAAGGAGACGTGAACAAGGCGCACTCGCAACTAGCGTTTATGAAAAACCACTCTCTTATATACTCATGGAAAACAACACAGTCATACTACACAGTCATACTACGTCCGGTGTAGCCCCCTTCGTAGAAAAGTGTGCTCTTTTGCCGATAGTGACACAGACGTGTCACTAATGCAGTCCTTGCCCTTTTCTTTTATTTCGAAGGCCTCGTGCAGCTCCCTCGATATCCGATCGGCGTATCTGGCCAAAAACCTTGTGTCACTAAATGACGGTGTGCAGGAGCAACGGCTGCAGTGCGTGGCGAGGTGTCCCGAAGGGGTAGCCCGTGTAGCCGCAGCATGTTCGCGGGCGCGATCATTAAAGCATCTGCCCGTTTGGCCAATGTACGATGATCCGCATGACATGGGGATTTCGTATATGACGCCCGTGGCACATTCCGTGTACCTGTTGCGGTGCTTCGTATTGCAAGGTGAGTCAGCAGATCCTTGGAGGCGTACTTGACAGAAATGTTTACGTCTCGTTCCTCTGAGAAGTAGAGGCAACGGCCTCGCGTCTTCTCCACCTCGCCACCTTGAGGGGGCGAAGCTAAGAGAGGAGGAAACAAGATATCTTCACGTCACGCGCCTCGTCGGCCTGGTTCAATCTCGGTCTCTTTTTCCAAAAATACGGCCGTACATTCGAGATATCGCCTAACGAGTAATGTTGTAGGGATTGTAACGTCCAGGCCTACATCTCCTGCATTGTTTTTTTTTTTAATCCAAATTTCGGTTCACTATCCCTTAAATGATGTTGAGGAATTTCAGATAAATTTTATATCGGACTGAATTTGATGGCCATACTAATCCATTATTTTAAATTATAGTTCTGCATTTTTTTAAATAAGCATTTGACATATAATTAGGACGAAAGAGTGTCTAAGGGAGCAAATAGTTCAGAGCCGATTGGGCTAACCCGAATACTGCCCCCAACTTGCTGCTCCTAACACGGCAATGCAAGGCAGCAAAGCCCACCAAGCATGGAGGCCGTGACAGTGTACACCGTGATTAAGAGATAGGCAAGAAACGATTTGTTATTTGCCCCAAGTGCCCTGGCGCACATCCGACCAATAGACGATTTGCTATTTTCCCAAGCGCCCCGGCCCGCGCGCGAGGAATGGTGGGGAGACTGTCCCTCGCCTGGCCGCTCTGCCTTAAATCGCATTGCCTTGTCGTTTGCCTCCTCTTAATCCTCTGTTTTTCGATTCCATTGCTTACTTTTATCTATTCAAACATATTTCTTACTGCTTCTAAGTGTTTCTATTCTCATAGTATTTGTGTCTATATTTTTCTTTTTTCGACGAGAGTGCCGACGGACAACACGCCGCTTCGCGCGTCGTTCCCCGGGTGAGTACTACCGTTGCTACTGATTCCTATCGCGTTGCTAGCTGTTCATTATAATTCACTTTGTCCCGCGTGCAGTCGAGAGGAGCCGTTTAGGAACACCCGCGCCTATGTCATAGGGATAGGCAGAGGTCTGAATCAACAATCGCGACGCGAGAGCTCAGTCCGCTGTGATTTGGCCGCCCGCACTCGCTCCGTTTACTCGCACTGTAGCGTGTGCCTTCGAGTGCCGCTTGCTTGACCCAAGATACAGCACGCCGCTTTGTCGCCGAGAATCATTTGCCCGAATGCCTGCGAAACCGTAACACCGTTCGGCATATCCAACGCTGCGGCGCCTGACAACTGCACGCAGCAGCGAGCAGTTGTCAGCACTTGAAAAAGGGTGTTTGCAACTGAAAACCGTTTATGCCGTAGCATATAGAATAAGAAGGCATACCATAAGCGCCTGACAACTGCTGCAGTTGTCAGGTGCCGCAGCGTTGCGTATGCCTCAGCTTCGCGAACATTCGGACAAATTATTCGCGGCGACAAAGCGGCGTGCTGTATGTCGGTCAGGTAAGCGGCACTCGAAGGCATACGTTAAGGCTCTGTTGTACTCCAACGTAACGCGCGCGCAAGCGAACGCTGGCCGAAGTCGGCTACG